TCCTTGAGTTTAAATACAATTTAAAATATCCTTAGCCACCCGACCATCTACCTTCCTACTTTACCATCCATTTTTATTATATTTTATATAGTGAGCGGAATCAACCAATATAGGGGAAATTATTAGGTCCGGACACTGGACCTAAAAATAAGTCCGGATATCCACTTAAACTTTGCCACATGGATTGCGCGTGCTTTGACTGCCCTTTTTTATTGCGCTTTGACTGTGCTTTGACTGTGTTTTACCTGCGCTTAATTTTGACGCGCTTGACTTAAAATTCCGCTGATACATGTACATTCCACATGTCAATATTTTATTGGAGTCCGGACGTATATCTATGTCCGGTGTCCGGACCTAATAATTTTTCCCAATATATATAAGAGGTGGGAATGAGGAAAAAGAAAGAGGGCCACCTCTTCCTATTCATTCTGGCCATAATTACCCGCATGATGAGTGGACTAAGCATTTTTAACGCTAGAATTCAAAACAAGCACATCCAATAAGAAAATATGTGGTGGATGCAATTACAATGTTAGCAGGATGACGATCTAATTTATGCTTCATTTGGAACGGCTTTTTTAGTGCTTCTTAAAGCAATTTTTTTAGTAAAAAGTTTTAATTTTTGTACTAAAAAGCTGCTTCAAGAAGTAATAAAAAAGTCATCCCAAACGAAGCCTTAGTGTCTAGATCAGTTATCTTAATTGCATCGCTAATCTCCTCTAGTCCTTTAGACTAAGGACCTTCTGAGTATTGAGTTTTTTTTTTATTTTTTTTTTCATGTATTTTATTTTCTTAATGTCATTTTTCACTTTTGAGATATTGAAACGAGTAAGTGTTTGGTTGTGTTGAAGACTTGTATTTGAATTATGTACTTGTATTTCTACCGTGTACTTGTGTTTGTTATTTATACTTATACTTATTTCTTTTTATTAAAATAATTAAATAGTTTTTTAAAAAAAAATTATAATATCTACACTTTTGACTAGGTTTTTAATACTCAAGACATAAATTAAGGGGAAGAAGTATTTTTGCAAATTTAATAATTTTTTTTTTTTTTCACAAAACAATTTTTGTTTGATATATAGCCTAACTAAAAGTATTTTCCATCATGAAAAAGGATAAATTGTTAGACTAGTGAGCCTATAAGTTTATTGAGATTTTAATGAATATGATCATTATTGTTAGCATTAATTTTTTGACTAATTAATGCTAACATTTTAGGGTTACAATAGATGCAGGTCCATATGGACTTGACATACAGCTTGGATGACAATCATAAGCTTAGACTATGAAATCAAATACTTGTAAATTTTATTTTTGTTTAGTCTTCTTTTATATGCTAGGTATATCATATATGATATATGTGAAATGACCAAGTACACACACTAGAGATAAATTTTATTTTAAAAAAAAGGCTTACAAATTGCATAAAAATGGTATATTAAAATAACTTGATCTACTATAAATGCAATGTATGATTTATGTCATATTGTACTCTACTTAGAATATTTTTGGTAATAGTGAAGATAAAGTCATATTGATTTTCAAAAAATTCAAAATTATAATTCTCATACTAATCTATATGATGATAATTAAAAATATGATTAGTTTTATTCAAAATTACATAATCTTTATATGCTTCTTTTCTTAATTAAGTCAATTTAAATTTGAACTAATTGTACTGTGTGATAGAGATATGATCATACTATATTATTATTTAAGTAATTATCTAATTAAGAACCATTAATCAAGGAACATATTAAAAAATCAAAATTGAAATTGTATTGTATTGTATGATGCCAACCATACAGGGTACCTTTCACATAGAGAATGATTTCCTAAAATTTGTTAAATGTACTAATTGTACTGTACAATACCGATTGTGCAGTTTGATCAAATAAAGAGATTTTTCTTGAAATTAAATAATTATACTAATCATATTTTATGATCAGTGGATCAAATTGCATTATATGACCAAGAGTTTTAAAAAACATCCTTGTCAAGGTTTCAAATCAAGAAACCCTTTAAATATCCTTTTCTAAAAATCCCAAAATGAAATTTTTTGCAAGAAAAGCAACTAAAAATATTAAAAGCATTCGGGAGAAATGTTTGTTTCTCAATTTCTCTTTTCTGTTGAGATTTTCCATTTTGACCAGGAGAGGTTCATGAGAGAGTCTAGACCATTGGTTATTTTCACAAATCATATAATTAAATCCTCAACTTTGAGAATTTAAAGCATAGATCTAAAGAGTCTTTTTTCTTTGCTTGTAAAAGATATTTTGATCTTGTGGAGTATTTTTTTTTGTACTTTATTACTCATATACTACCTACATGATAAGTGATGATGATATTTGTTTATGATTTATGATACCTTGGAATGTGAAGAATGTTAAGAATTAATTTTTCATCATTGTTAAAGTTGCAATTTATATTCATGGCAATTTTAGTTTTTTATAAAAGAAAAAGTTGCTTAAATTTAAAATATTATTTTGTTAAAAAATAACTTACTCATATCTTTTTTAAAAATCATCTACAAATAATTTCTTTTAAATTAAAATTTATTTACCAGCTCACTCCACAACTTACCAAGGAGAGAATTTGGGGAGTGGTTGTAGCTCAATCGGCCGATCCACTATGGAGGAAGAACACTTACCCACCAAATTTTGTAATAAGGAAACTTCTTGCCAACTCTTTAAAAAGATGCAGAAGAATTCTCAATCAAGTGTTCTTAATCCCAACAATTTACCACCATGCAAATGCAACCCCCTTACAAGCTCCAACTCATCAACAGCTCTTAGCCAGTCATCAAGTGAAGCATGGGTCTTATTGGTTCATTCCTTCCATTGTGTGGGAAAAGAATGTTTATCCTTATAATGGTGAACTACTTCACTAAATGGATTGAAGTAAAGACACGTGCTAAACTTCTATCAAGAGGCCATTCAAATCTTCTTATGGTATTACATTATCAATAGATACATTCTTCCTCTCACTAAAATAACTAATAATGGACCACAATTTATCAATAAGAAAATAAAAGAATTTTGCACGTCTTAATTCATTCACCTTCTATTTTCCTCAGTTCACCATCCACAGACCAATGAGCTAGTTCAAGCTATTAACAAGTCAATATTTAATCTCCCATAAAAGAAGATTGAACAAGCAATAGGTAAATGGTTTGAATCACTTCCCTTAGTCAGATGGGCAATATTGGGAATGATTCCATCCTTGATAAAGGGTTAGACACCACTCTCACTTTTACATAGCATCAAGGCCTTCCTTCTATTTGAACTCAAACTACATAACTATTGAACGGTTGAGCTGCCAACTTCAGTAAAGATGAGCTTAGCAAATGGCAAAAAATAAATCAAAAAGACTTAGAAAAAATAGTTGACCTCATAAAAGAACTTTAAACATAGGCCACCCTTAAGCTAGAAGAAAATAGGAGGATGTTTAAGTACTATAATGCCAATATCAAGAAAAACTTTTTCCATTCTAATGACTTAGTTTTAAATAAGGTGAATGATGAACCTTTCCAATCAATATTTGATAACTTCGGATCAACTTGGAATGACCCTAATATCACTAAAAAGCAAGTCAGCCATGTAGCCTATGAAATGCGAACCTATTCAGGTAAGAAGATGTCGAGGAACTATTAGTGCCTATGACTTGAAGATTAATTATCCATAAGGGAAGCCTTTGTACCTGACCACATAAGTAATTATTAATAGTGAAAATTTTCGTCTGAGTTTCCATATTCTTCACTTGCTCTAGGAGAAGGATGAAGGTTGAATACACAATAAGAGCTCACTCCTTTCATGACTCGATGAGGGGTATTTATAGGGAGGGATTATGACATGAATTCTAAGGTGCTAGTTACATTTATAATTATTGCTTATATTACAACCATAATATCAACATTGCCTGAAGAATTGGTGCATCTCCCCTTTCTCGCCCTCAAGTATTGTCATTATTAGAGTACTTTTTTATGAGTTACCTTGACATGAAAAAAGTACTCATCCCACCTCACCTTGAAAGGATTCATTAGTGACTCTCCTCATTCATCACTTGATGTCACTATCAACTCACCATAATGCTAAATCATAAAACCCTCATTGCTTGAGGAATCAAATCTAACTAATAGTATAAAATATTAAAAATCTCAAGTTAACTCCTCGTCATTATCTATTATCCTCATTTTTATATCAGTGGTGTAGGCTATTCTATAGTGCTTGTTGCCATGGAAGTTGCTCTTGTGATCAATATTCATGTCCATGTGGGTGTTTCATAGGTCGTTAGAAGGTTTACTCAAGGAAGCTCATCCAAAGTAGTCACATCATCTATTTAAGATACTCGCTAGTAAGAGATTTGAATCAACCAAATTTAAGAGTCGTCACAAGCATGCATATCAAGGAACTCATACAATTTCCTCATCTCGTCGTCATTACACATCAAGCAACTCGCCCTTCCCATCTAAAGGTCAAAGTAGAGCCTCTAGGGTTTCACCTTAGATGACTGACTTACACAAACTCATCCTACTTTACCTTTTCCAAAGAACTTGCCCAACACAATTGCCAATGAAGACTCACCCAGGCAATATATTCAGTCTAGGATCGAGAGCAATATTAAAGATATAGAACCACACAAGCACATATCAGCTCATGACACATGACATGTATATGTAATGGATTGTTACTAATATTATACTTGTCTTTTTTTTTTTTTTTCATTTTGTATAGACTTCCATGTAGTCCTCTAAGCCATTTAAACAAGAGGTGAGGAGTCACATTTTAGACCTTTTTTGTTACTTCAGGGTCCTTATATATATTATGGATCTTTTGATATTTTCTAAGCATATTTAACACTTTGATTTCTCTCTCTCACTCTCAATATTCACCCATCTCTCTAGATCCTCTAGTTCTCATTTAAAAGATTGCATGCTCATAAAGTCAATAGTTAAGAGAGCAGGAATAGGAGAAAAGGAGTTCTATGAGAAAAAAGAATGGCATAATTTCAACATAAATAATCTATTAGAGACAACTATGACTCATACATGGGCAGAACAACAACAAAAAAAATGAATAAAAAAATAAACATGGCACTGTAAGCTTAATAATATAAGATTTGTCACAAAGTTAACAATCTCTTATGCTTAATATATAGCAGAAAGGATAAGTATAAAACCCCGCAGAAAACAGCAGATAATATAAGCACCCAGTTGAAGTTGGAGGGACTGTCAAACACAGAACTCTGAAAGTTCATCCCAAATACACCTGTAACAACTGCAAAAATGGTTACAACAAAAGTGGCTCCGGTGAGCAGCAACTCAAATTGAATCAACTGATTTCGCACATTGTCCTGATCAATCACCACACAAAAAACCAATTAACTTTATACTCAAATCAATGAAACTTCAAAATACAAACTCTCTTCATACCAGTTTGATGTTGATAAAATCCTCAGTATCATCTATATACTCTTTCAGCTGTGACATACAAAACTCTCAATAGGTTCAGAAGCAGGTAAAGATAGAAAATTATGTAAATATGCATCAGAATCAGATTCTTACAGATGATAATTTGCTTAGTGTATTATCTGTGACAACAAAATATGCTTCCAAAAGCATCTCCAATTCTTCAACATGACTCCCATTATTGAATGAACTCCTGGAGCTGTCCTCCTTGCTTGGGCTGATAATACTAGTGGAAAATGTTGGTGAAACTGGAGCAGACCTTGAGAAACCAGTGTTGCAGAATTCAAGACTGCTCGAATATCGGAGAGTGGATTGAAATGCTTCGATTCCATCCTCCTTCTGGGTAAGATACATCTCAGCCATGTCACCATCATCATCCATGAGATGTTCTATTTCATCGCGAATCTGAAATGTTGATCTAAAGTTTTCAATCCCAAAACAAGAATAAGATTACTAATTACTGCATACCTTCTGAACTCTGTAGGTTAAAGCAAGAAGATGGCTTTTTAGCCTGCGAACATGCTCTAGATTTATGGTGCTAATTGTGGTTGCTAGCTCATCAAGCACAGGATATATCTCAATTTCCAGTTCAGTGGCCTGTTTGATTGAAAATGGCTAGATGAATAAATGTTATGCAGTTACTGCCAAGTTTGATAAAGAAAAAACGATGAATCTGTTAAGGTACATATATTATTGAGTTTATCCATAAATCAATAGTTGAAAATATGATATAGAAATACCAAATGATCATTTCACATCCAAATTTGTTGCTTTTTGGGTTGGAAATAAAGTTAACCGTTGATACATTTTAGGCTCCGTTTGGGGCGGCTTTCTTACTGCTATTTAAAGCAGTTTTTTAGTATAAAAATTAAAATTCTTAACTAAAAAGCTGCTTTAAGAAGCATTAAGAAAGCCACCCCAAATGAAGCCTTAGCCCAACTTCAATCCAACAGAATGATTTTATGTTGCATATGTCCACCATAGTGGCCTGGTTCGGTTGCTTCCGTTTGACTTACATTTCTTTATGTAATTCTGACCAAGTCCGTTATAGTGATATTTATAATAGGCACCTTTTGGTGAAAGGTAGACAAATAGTTTGTCAGAATTATTATTATTTTATGAAAAAGGAATTTCCATGGATCTACCAGTACAAGATATTCATATTGAGTTCCTGAGGTACCTGAGATTCAAGTGATGCTGAAGCCAACTCAAGAGCAAGTTCCAAAGCCTTGAATTCAAAAGGAAGATCATCTGCACATCAAATGTAGCTAGCTAATTTCTTAAGAATTTTATGAAGTGATGAAAGCCAACAAAAAAGATAACTTTGTTACCATTTTGATCTTTGCTTGCCTGAAGTCTTTGGCCCAATTCTGATTCATAGTACAGAACACTGCTATCCAAAGAATTCATGAGTAAAACCTCATCCGCCATGATTATGCATCTAATTTGCTCCAGGCTGACTACAATTGCTTTCTCTCGACCAAGAATCGTTGAGGGGTAGACAAACAAGGGATCTAAGAGCCTGAGATCTCGAGCTGGAAGCTGGCAGCGCCTCATCAGTGTGAATTTATCAAATGCCAAAGTTTGAGATTTTCCACTACGGTCTATCTGTATCCATGAACGGCTGTTGAAACCTCTTTTCTTCATAGCTGAAGCTCCAAATCCCTGAAGAAAATGATTTCCAGCTCCATCTGGCTTTGGTATTTCGTCATAAGAAGCCGTTTCTGGAATGCCTGATTCTCCGAGCTTAGAGTACGACTTCACCATTGGAAAAATGCTTTCTCAATTCTTATTAGATAAAGATCAAATCCAGCTTAAACCTGATTCATGAATTGAGCAATTTCTTATAAATATACAGACTGAACAAAAAAAAGAAATTAAAAGATGATCTAATGATGAGCTAAATGTGAGAAAAATCAATCTTAAGAGAAGCCCGCTTATAATTTAGACTATCCGATAGTATTAATGACATTTTTTTGGGGGAAAAGATGTACAGTAAGAATACAGATAAGAAAAACTAAGCTAAATACAAATGAAAATGGAATTCTAAGATGGCGTGAAGGACTACAAGAACCATTATATTTTCCCACAAAGAAGGGAGAACAAACAAGAAAATTGCAAGTCCAGCAGAAATGCATTCCCTTCTTTGATTTATTCCACAAAGGGATCTATACTTCCATTTAAAAAAAAAAGCAAAGAAAGCACTATTTCTGCTCTCTCGCAGAGTAAATAAAAACAGAGTTCTTTTGCATTACCTGAATCTGAATCATCCTGACCACACAGATGGAATGGACCTTCAAAACAAATAAACAGTGAGCAAGTGCTTGAAATCTAAAAAAACAAAAGAGATATTAGGGATAAGAATAATTAGGTATTCTACCTCATCAAATTATTGAGGGCCCCACCATGGAGAAATTATTTGGTGCGGATCCCGAACGTAGATCTACGTCCGGACTCTAATTAAACTTGGACGCGTAGATATTCACTGTGCTCTTTCGTAAGGAATTTTTTTTTAGAAATTTACAATGTGTAATTCCCTGTGATTTTGTTGCCATTTTGCTGCACTTTTACTCCCATTTTGCTACGATTTTACTTTTGCTACCCTTTTACTGTGCTTTTACTTCCCTTTTACTACGCTTTTACATTTTCTATCCTTTTGCTGCACTTTTGTTTTGTGAGCAGTGAAATGCCACGATGAAAAAATAAAATGACCTAAAAAAATGAAATCCAACTAAAAATCTACGTGTCCACTGCACTTGTCAAAATTTAATTGGAGTACAGACGTAGAGCTAGGTCCAGACTCCGCACCAAATAATTTCTCCTCATCATGAGCTAAACAATGACAGAGCTGCCAAATCAGTTTTCTTTTTAAATTGGAAAAGAGAATTGTTACAGTCTAACTTATAATTAAAAAAAGATCAGTCAACTTCTACAAAAAATAGAAAAAGAAAATTTAGTATCTTATATGGCTGATTATATATTGCGCTTAATTTTTGTTCAAATAAATATATTAGTCCTACAGTGATTTAGATATTGTAACACAAGTCGTCGGTAGAAACAAGAAGATTGCTTTAACCGCACCAAATATTGGTTGTGAATTGCTGAAGAACTGGTTTGGGTGGAAAAGAGCTTAACCAAACTGAATTTCATAATGGAGAATATATCATGGGAAATTTTAATAAGAAAAATTTGCATATTTAACTAATAGTTTTGATATAGACGATGATTGTTGATATGCCATCAGAAAACTCATCCGATCAAATATAAATATCGATGCAATATTTAGATTAAAAATTTTCAAAATTAAATTCACGATCATCCAACCCCCAATTTCAACGAACTTTTTATGATGAGCCCAATGAGTCCAAAAGTGATCTGATTCGGATCCAAATGAGCCAAAATTAACTACTTAAAGTGTAGTTGAAAACTTCAGGACATTTGTTGTATCAAACAACCTTTTATCTTTATACGCTTATAGTCAAATGTAGCATCTAGATGAGTGTCATCCAACAAGCTCAAGATGACATGATTTTGAGATCAATAAGTTACTTAAATGTTAAAATAACATGATCAAATAAATCAATACGGGTTGTTTGATGGAGTGTTTTGATACTTCAATAAAAACAAAAACAAAATATTGCTACGAAAAACTACAAACAGAGACTCATTGTCACGACCCAACCCGATCGGGACGGAGCCAACAAATCCAGGATCTGACTTTGGAATTTGTTTCATAACTTTCTTCCAAATATAACACAGACAGAAAAAAAAAAACACAGAGCTACTATAAACATCCAAACACAGCGCAGTTCATCTATCTTTTCTTTCATCAAAATAATCATATACAGATACAGTGCATGGCTTCAGACAGAAAGAACAGAACAGAACAGAAAAGCCATGACTGTACAAAAATCAAAAGTATCAAGTACCTAATCAGAGATCAGACTCAGAACGTCTAGTCCAAGACCTCATTCCCTTTCCTAGAACCTGAAAACCACGCAGAAAATAAGGATGAGCTAACAGCTCAACAAGACATCAATCACCAATCAAAATTATCAGAAACTCACATCAGAAAAGTATCCGTACAGAAATCAAACAATCGTACGGAAATCGTATAACAGACAGAATTCATAATAGCTCAATCAGAAATCAAACATCAGATACGAAAGACTGAAGTCATATCAAATCGGATATCATAAATCTTTCATGTCACAGAGCAGACAGAATCATACGGAATAATCAAATTCGTACAAAAATCAGAAATCAGATAAAATCACATTACAGCTTTACAAAACAGATAATTTCAGAACAGAACTTCCTTCCAGATGTTAGAACTTCCCATCTTCCCCTTATGGCTCCCTTTTGTGCTTATAGCACCAGAACTTCCTCTTATAGCTCCCTTTTGTGCTTATAGCACCAGAACAGAACAGATATACAGAATTTCAGATTTCAGAACTTCCCCTTATGTCTCCCTTCCCGGACCCAGACAACGTAATCACATAGGATTTCGGCCCCTTATAACTCCCTTCTAATAGCATACAAATAATTAATTCATTCAAATCATCTCATTTCAGAATTTCAGAAATCGTACGAAAATTCAGCGGCATAACGGCAGTATACAGAATTTACACAAAATTCACAGATCCAGAAATTTACCAAATTACCACAGAACATTCA